TTTCTGGAGGGGGCGACCGGGGATATGTGGGCTGGATTGGGGAAGGAGGATGGGCGGTCTCACAGCTGGCACTGGGGAGATTTGCAAGCGGGAGGGGGGGCGGTAGGGGGTGTGGTGAGGCAGCCAGTGTGTCTGCGGGGAGGGCGTCTTGGTCTTGGGGTCAGTAGATTATAAGAGCGCTCAGCAGTGGACCGCCCCCCGCCCCGCCCCTTGTTCCTGCGTCTCCACTCGCGCCCCTGCTGCCGCCCCGCAGGTGGCCGAGCTCACGATGCAGACGGAGTACCAGCTGCGCCTGAAGGACCTGCACACGCAGGTGGGGCCAAGGCCGGGCGGCCAGGGAGTTCATGTCCGGGGAAGTGATAGAGTGCCACACCCGATGACGGCAGTTTTCGCAGCAGGCTTTGCACCCGCTGCATTGTCAGGGTGGGGGCAGTACAAGTAGGCCTCCCGCTGACGCACGTTTACAATGCGCACATTGCGGGAGAGCTGCAATCTTCTTCAAAGGGCCATCCCAGAGTTTACACATGCATGACATGACTGCCGATTGACCGCCTTTGGCCGCCTTTGACCCTCAGGAGCGCCTGAAGGAGGTTGCGGACCGCAGCAACGCCAAGCAGGAGGCGGACAGGCAAAAGTTTGAGATGCTGCTCTCGGAAAAGAACGAGCAGGCGCGTAAGGGCCAGGGGGGGACGGGGCGACAAGGGCACCGGGCACGCAGGGCGCGGCGGCCGCTGGCGGTTGGCGGCGGCAGCGGCGGGGCGGCTTGATAGGTGTATGAAAGTTGGAGTGGGACCCACAGTCAAGGCTGGGCTCTGCCTCGGTGATTGCAACGCTGTTGGCGGTGCCAGCTGACTCCACCTGACGGTCCGAGACTTGGGACTAGGTGGATCCCCCCGACCGAGTGCTGAAGCCTTGGACCCGCATTGAACGTCGGACTTGACAGGAGATGGAGTACGAGGAGAAGCTCAAGGGCGCTGAGGGGCGGGCGGCCGCGCAGATGGCGGCACTGGACAGCCAGTACCAGGTCAGGCGGGGCCGCGGTGGGAGGG